GATTTCCATAAGGCCGACACATCCTGTCCCCTTACCGTTTACGGTTCATCCACGAGCAATAGTCCTCTTTGTTCTCACATCTACAAATTTCATATCGATCTTTATCTCCAGGAGTCGGAGAAGCAGCAATGGCCAATTGGCATACATCCTGTAGGAGACCGCCTGAATGAAGGCTGGACCTTCACTGAGATGCGGGAACGACTCAAAGATCCCAATTCCACAATTGAGTCGCTTGGCCCTCCCCCTAGTCGCGGCGATGGCAGTTTGCGACCCATTGTCGGGAAGTCAGCATCTCCTGGTCATAACTTACCAAACTTCTCCATCGAGGAGATGCATAGTCACATAGTCAAGTTTATCGTAGCGGATGATCAAGTGAGTACTGTCTACCATCTATGTACTCTCGTTAACGACTATCTCTAGCCAATTAGCATTGTTGAGTGCCCCGAGTTTTGGCAGCTCATCCTCCTCTTGCGGCAAGACCTAAAGGACTCTGATATCCCCCATCGTACAAAGGTCCGGGCACTCATCATCGAAGCTTGGTATGCATACTTCACAGCCATCAAACTTGACCTTGCTGTAAGTGTACAGCTACCGATCATATATATTTCTGATATCTTGCAGACCGCCCAAGGACGAATTTCATTCACATCTGATATCTGGTCCAATTCTAAGCTTCGTCCCTTCCTTGCCGTGACGGCGCATTGGCTTGCAAAAGATCTAGGCGACAATGCGGCACTTATTATGAAGGCCGCTCTAATCACCTTTCATCATATCCCTGGTAGTCATACAGAGAAGGCACTCGCTTTACAAATATTGAAGCTGATTGATCGCGCCGAAGTAACACATAAAGTCAGTGTCTCATTATGCTGCATCACATGCTCTGACTTCGTCTAGATCGGACACTTTACCTTGGACAACGCGAGCAACAACAGGACTGCAATGGACGAACTCGAATATCTATTGCACAAACAAGGCATCGAATTCGACCCACTCAATAACCGAATCCCATGTTTTCCTCATATAGTGAATATATGCGTCCAACACATCCTCGACAAATATTCTACTGTAGACTTGTCAAATTTGGCTGACACTTTCGTAGCTGGCCCTTACCGTTTCAAGAAGGTTGAGTACATCCATGCTCTGGAAACCAAAGTTATCGATCGGGCCAGAACCCTTGTTCGTGCAATCCGCACATCAGGCATGCGCCACGAGAGTTTTCGAGCTGCCATTACTTCTGGCAATGCAGATGGATGGTTCGTAAATGACAAGAACGAGCGTATGGCTCTTCCAACCCTGGAATTGCTATGTGATGTTTTAATATATCTGAAATCCATATCATATTTACTGTTCTACATTAGGCACCGCACCACGCTCAACAATGCATGTCCGGCAAAACCAGTCCTCTACTGGGCAGTGCCATTCCGGCCTTCGAAGGGTTGATCGAACGGTGGAAGCTTGTGGCGAACCTTGTCCCGCACTGTCTGCCTTTGGTTGCCATAGGTTTAATGTGGGCAGCTAAGTACGATGACCGAATGTTCCTCACAGGAGCGTACGCTGTTGCAATGTGTCAGTACCACGTGTTTTTATGAAGGTTAATTCTCATGATTGCGCACAGTTGTCGATCCTACAAGACGTATGTCATGGATGAATGAACATTGGTCAGTCGCACGAATCACAAAGGCTAAAGACTATATTTTCAAACTGGTACGTCTGCCCGACGCGAACAACATTAAAATGTGAGCTGATATATCCCACAGATGCAGATCAAGAGGCCAACAAATGTCCCCGCCCTGTCCAATCAGTTGATTCATTGGCCGCGCCCTGCAACATTAGGCTCGACGATCTATGGACTTCCTGAGATTGACATACTGCCGCGTTCCCAGGGTGGCCCCCAATCGATTGAAGACGAGTTTAATGCCTATAGCACAGGTGTTCTTAGCCCCATGGGTACAGATATACTATCTTTTTGGACGGTAATATTCCTGTCTCTCTGTCACAGGTTTTATTTATGATGAGGCATCAATGGTGGGCTAGGTTTCGAGACCCATGTTTCTGACGATCTACAAAATTGCCATGGACTTCCTGCCAATTCAAGCCTCTGCCGTTCCGTGCGAGCGCGTATTCTCCTCCAGCAGTGACACATTTACCAAGAAGCGCAATCGTCTCAGCCCACATTTGATGGAAGCCCTACAGATTATCAAATTCAAGCTGAAGAAAGACCGACTTCACTTTACCAAGGGTTGGGCAGCATCCCAGAGTGACATGGAGTACCATTTGATGTGTCTCATGGGCTCTGTGGGCCATGAAGATCTCTTGGCGCCTGACTCCGGCGATCTACTGATATCCGCCGTCAGCGGAACTACTTCTGACAGTCGTGATTATGAGGCCCTTCTCAGAGTCATCGCGGAGGATGAATGTGATGATGTTCCAGATGATATTGCAGACCCAGGTGTTCCCGTCTCTTAATTCTTGCCCGTTTACTGCTACATTTTTTATTCCTGTCATCTTACTCATGCCACTGCTGCTTTTGTCATTACACAGACCTTGACTATCGATTTGTTTTCATCGATTTGTTTCTCCTCTCAGCTTTCTCACCCTGACTAACTGCACAGCGACTTCATGGAGAAGGATGCTGACCCTGCTTTTGTCACTCTCCTTTGCAGCTGTCGCGAAGCTCTTGTCGGGTCCCAGCTTGTCTATGGAACGGTACAAGAGCGATAAGGTTTCAGTCTCGCAGAGGTTCGGCAGCATGAAGATCTTGTTCTGAAATTCCCCGAAAGACAACTTTCACTTGTTTGTGGTCAGCTGGGCAGTGGAAAGACTGTTATTATTGAGTACGTCTGATCTCGGAGCGAATTTTGGAATACTGCTCAATGTGATGTAGCTTTACTCAGTGAGGCAGATGTCCTCACCGGCCAGGTCATTTGTCCGCGTTCACCACCAGACGCGCTTGCTTCCTTCACCGACCAGAAGGTCACAAAGGAAGAGTGGATAGTGCCTGCAGTGTCTGCAGGCCATTCTTCCGTTGCTGTGCTTGTGGAAGAATATTTGTGAAGGCTATTGAGATCCCCTCACCTCCATCCCGCGTTCGCCTCGATTCAGACTCTAGCTCGAAGTTCATTGGACGCTCGACTGCGCGTTCTTCCCATGTCCCAGGCCACTACAGACACTCTTCAGAATTGAGCTTTGCAGGCTTTGACTCGTTCACAGAGGTGAGAAGAGGGTTCGAGTTCCATGACCATCGTCCGGGTTTCTACCCTCCGCCAGGATGATCTGAGCAAAGCACTGTCTTTTGGAGAGGCAGAGTCTGGAGATCATGGTGTTAATTGCGGAAGGAGAAGATCTGTCAAGATCTTGTGAGTTGTTCATTAGGAATGGGTTACTTTGTCTTGCTCACTATGGTACTAGTCTGTCTCCATGTCTTCACCCGCCCTCCTGCAGGCCGTTCTCACTCCAACACTTGTACATCAATGAGTTCTGGTGCTGACACGCCTCCACTTTCAATCTCGGATGGCTGTTCCTCATTCTCGGAAGGCTCACAGTCTAGCATCGACCTCTCGCATGTCAACTACATGCTTTCCAACACCACTCACCCTCTTTTGAACACTACCTTGGACAGAGTCCAACCACATGCTCACGGCCACGGTCACCAACGATGGATCTCTCAAGCCCGTGCATCGCGGACTTCCATCTACCAGACCATTGAGGAGGAATTCACAGCATTTTCTTCGACTTCGTCTCCTCAGTCGCTTCTAAGTTCTGCAACGAAGACCACTCAACTTCCAGATTCGGCGACAAAGACAACTGGCCGTGCTCCTGTATTTGTTGCTGATCCTGAGACTGCACCGATGGATTCAGTGTCATTGTGGAATGATGAGAGGGGCATTATGGTGTTATGCAAGTACTATGCGCTTCGCGACAAAGTTCAAGAGACAGTGACAGAGAGCCAGCAGACCTGGCTCGACACGCCGTTCTCTGTCTTCGCGGTTCAATGTGAGTACCTCGTCACCTATTTTCTGCACGACACTGAATGCCGCTCTTAGCATTTGATCCTCCTTGTCATCCTTCTGGCATGCAAGCGCTCTTGGAACATTCACTGCAGAACTACGGGCATTTGCCTTCAGACTTGCGCCCCCAGCGCATGCATTTAAGTGTATGTATTCTCCTCATTTTTGAAAGCACGCGACTGACATGTTTTTATAGGCCTATCAATGCTAACATCTCGCTCTTCAATGATCCGGACTCAAATTTCCCAACGTATCTTGAAGTCAGGTTGCTATCAATGTTGCGATGAACGCGCTCAACTCCTCATGTCCCTCAACGCAGCAGGCACGGCGTTCGGTACCGCGTATGTAGATGATGGAATTGGTGTGCTGGTGCCTGTGTTTGGATGAGCGCTACTAATTGTTGCTAGTAAACATCATCTTTAGATGGTCGACAGATTTCACTCACCCATTCTCTTGCAGCCTAAATCCCAGTAACTTTGCCAGTGCAATCTGTAACTTTGATGGCCGCCCTGATGCATACACAAAAACCACTTCCTGCTCTCGTGCCTGTGAAGCTCTCACTCTTGCCACCCTCGAAATCTCTGCAGTTGCCGCTTCCGCCCTTGCTACCACCCTTCTGGCTTGATCGATGGTGATACAGTCCTGATCGGACTCAACGCATGTCCAAATGTCACAAAAATACAATGTACCACAAATTGTGGTCCCATTCTTGTTAGATCTTTGGACTTCGATTGTTTACGACGTACGTAGATCGGTGGTGATTATCAATCAATACAAAGTGTACTATTCTTACAATTCTAAATTTGTTTATTCTATTTCTAAATTTAAATCAAGCTAAAATTATCAGTCTGAGCCAGTTTAAAGCCGCTTACTGTGGTTGCATCAGCCGGACCGAGTCGATATTATGTAAGCAGTCTGACTTTGAAGTTCCAGTTAAACCGGTGAATCAGAACCGGCTTTAGCCGGCGCTAGCCAAACCTGCGGCAACACTAGTTCAAGGTAGTCTACACTCGGATTCACACTTTGTTCAGAAAGACTGAATTACTGGGACAGTCGCATCCGCAGCAGCTTTTGTAAGGAGGAATGAATATAATGCAATCATAACTAATTTTTTCCCCTCAGTTTTTTGACTTTTGCATTACTTTCAGCTCAGAGGTCAGTATGTTTCAATGGCGATATGCAAAACTGACATAATCCAGGTTCGCTGGACATGGGGGAGAAAGTGGGGGATTGTGAGGATAGCCTTTGTTATTTCTCGTTATCTGCCAATTATAGGATTTGCTATCACGATGCTATATCGTGAGTACTCATGACAGTCTATCTATTCTCGCACTTCACTGATGAGTCCCTCGCGGGATAGACACTGTCGAGACAACTCTCAGAGGAATTGTAAGTTTGGATTCATGTAACATAATTCAAGTATCTCTGATGATATTTCAGCCAATTATTGGGAGGTACCATGCTACAGCTAGCAGTTGCGTAGATTACAATCTCACTCTACCCGCTCTGAATGCTCAATTTCTTTGCTAGTCATGATCATATTTACTGGCGCTGCTGCTAGAGGTCAGTATCGGTTCCGGGTCGGGTTGCTTTCCTAACCATGACTTTTTTTTAGCCTTGTTCGTAACCAGGACATATGCGTTCTGTGCATTGGAAAAGAGGATCGTGATTGCGATATCATTGTTTTCCACGGTGACCTTAGTCCTTCCTTTTGGCTATTTTTTTGTTGCTCACATATCACACATAATTTTAGGTCGTAACAGCAACTGCAGTGGCAATCGTAATTGTTGTCGAGAGTGATCCCGGAAGCCTGTATCTCCCTCTCCACATTTCTTCTGCTCACCCAAATTCCAGATTTTATACAGTACGATGGTGTATTCGAGGAGGAACGACGCCTTAGCATTTGTTATGGCTTGCTCGCGATTTATGAGATTGGTACGTAGCATTATTTTTTCGATGCTTGCCCAGCTGCCGGCGGCCGCTAACCTCCGCCAGGATTGATGTCGCTGACAATGCACAAACGCTTCAAATCTTACCGACAGGAAAATACTCCATTGGTTGCTACTGTATATCGCGATGGCATGTTTTACATGCTGTGGATTACTCGTGAGTGTTGTAGATTTTTGTCCAGCAGCGCGACCTTAGTTTTTTCAGTCGCCTCGGTAGCGAATTGCATCGGTTTTCTTGTGCTTCCTGTGAGTACCTTACCTCGGGTCGCAAGGTCAGCTTCTGATCAGGCTGTCCAGCTATCATATGCTTCTCTTTTCACTAGGTAAAAATCATATCATGGTTTTATATCCAAAACTGACTCAGAGAAGCCCGCAGCTAGTTCTGCAGAGCGTTCTTGCCTCACGCATCCTGTTCAATCTGCGAGCAACGAACGAATCGCCGGATGACGTTCTAATCTTGCCAGTTGCTTCTAGAATGGTTTTTGCCCCGATCCAAACACCATCAGGCGCGGATCGTCTCGACCTAGAGATATTACAGACTTGTGACTGATTTTCGACTATAGATGTGCCTCTCTGCCTGCATGTTAGATATCGACTACAATTCGAGGCTACAAGGCTCGTTCATGAGCTTATTTATACAATATTCTACAATATATACTTTATATATAATGACGCTACACTCACCCAGTACTCATCGCTGCCTTTCCTCAGCCCCCTATCCGAGACTGGCGTACATCCATACATCCACTGTAGACATAACTTCCTTGTAGCGTGCGCTATCGACACGACGTAACCTGAAAGCTATCGCAACCCCCCACAACCAAGCCAATCACTCATTGAATGCAGTGTACAACAGTATCCAATTACACGTCTCAACAGACGGGTGTATAAAGTATGTATATAATACAAGCGTGGGTGCATGCGCGGTGTAGAGTACAGTACAGTAGATATATGCACCCATAGAAACAAATGGCCAGCGCTTGGCCCATCACCGAAAGAGCGTGAGCGTCCTTAGGATATGTTTTGACTTGTGATGCGTGCGTAGTGTGTTGCGAGGTATGAAGACGTGCGTGGTATATCTGGGGGGTAAGAAGCCTGCGACGTATGTCTATGATGGAAAGTGCGCGTGCGTTGTGTCCGAGGCCTTTCCTTTGAAATGAAGGTGCGCGTAGTATGTATGCAAAAAAACCGTGCGCAAATATATCGTATCTGAAGACAGTCAAACCCGTCGCTCCATCTAACAGTAAACACAACGCACCAATCCAAAATCCAAATCTTACACTTTGAAATTAAGTTCATCTCTATCCTCGCTCATGGCTCTTGCATACTCGAGGAATAACCTGAGTTAAGAACAAGTCAGCATCGCATAAGATGAAATTCACGTCTAACGCAAAATCTTGGCGCGTGGGGATGAAATCCACGTTCAACCCCCAACGCAAGCTCTTGGCGCGCGTGGATGACATTCACGCTCAACGCCCAACGCAAACCCTTGGCGCGTGTTGGTGACACCCGCTCACCCTAACCCAGCGCATATGAACCCCCACACTCACCTAAACAAATAAGCAACCATATCCTCCTTACTCCAAAACCCCTTACTCCACTCCCTCCCCCTCCCCGCAATCTTCTTCGCGAGGTCTTCATGGGCGCCTCGGCCTGAGAGGTCGTCGCGGAAGAAGACGAGGGCGTCGTAGAGATCGGAGTAGTCGATTTGGATGGGGATGTAGTGGACCCAGGGAGAGAGGAAGCTTGCACCCTCGTCATGTGAGAAGAGCTCCAAAGGCCGTGTAGGACCTGCCAGTGCGGTGATCAGTGAGTGAGTGACACGTCGAAACTAGAGTTGTTGCTGCATAGAATCTGTCAAAAGAACAGGATGTGACTCAACGGTGCTCCTCCGAATCAGCAGTAGAATCCTTCAACAGCCAAGAGGCATTCGCAGTGATTCCCCGCCCACGTCCCGTATCCTCGAGCCAGCTAAAAGCGTTTTTTTGCTGCCCGGTCTCACAAACAATGCAAGTCAAAATTATACCGCCATCTCGTCAGCGAATGTAACTTAACGGTGATCCACTACCTTAGTTTCCTGAAACCGGAGGTCTTTGGCACGTCAACTGTACTCTGCCTCCCTGCCAGTGTATTCTACACAGCTGTATGCATTGAGATTGAGAATATTCGAGAGACGGCGATGCTTGACCAGATTGAGAATATTCGAGAGACGGCGATGCTTGACCAGATTGACATGCATAGAAGCCAACCCACCGTTCGTCAGCGCAGGGAACATCACGATCAATAGCAGCATTTCTGCAAACTCGATGCCTCGATGCTAGTGTTTGAATTGGGTGATCTCCCTAGGTGGCGTGAGTGTGAACTGTGTTTTCTGCAGGTTCATCGATGAACTTCCTTTCAAAGCTTCTATGTGCATATGTAACGCTGGTATCGAGTATGCTGCGAAAGTCCTTATGGACAAATCAAGCTTAAGAAGTAGTTCATCAAAGGGCCGTGCCATGTTGCGTGTCGTAAATGACTTAGCTTGAGAATGAGTGACAAGTGTTGACACTGGTCATAACAATACTCACCAGCGCAGACTCGGAATAGTAGTCCTTTGGGCTATTTGATGGCAGAGGTGTGCGCCAGGCCCTTTGCTACGCGTAGCTGAGCTTCAAGTTAGCTGAGTCAGCAGCACACTAGCACAATATTCACAGGAGTCTATATAGCTGTGCCCTCTGAATCTCTGCCTGCATAGACCACAAGTCGAGGTTACAAGGCTCATACATAGGCTTACTTACTGTATAGATAATTTCAGTTATTTGCAGTACACTCACTTGGGAATCCTTTTTATCAGGGTTGTAACTTGTAATAGCTCTACTCAATGTGGTCATACTTTTTTTTGTTGCCTTTCCTTGGTCCTCTATCCGAGACTGAGGTTCATTACTTTCTTGTAGCACGCGCTATCAATACGACGTAACATCCATCAATGGGACATTACCCAAGCTATCAAATCGACGCCTGTCTGGGTGCAGGTCTGCGCAGACTATAGGTCTGTATGCACCCAGACCGGCCATTTCAGACTCGTCCTCCGAGCAACCCTCTAGCCCAACCATCGCGTCAACCCCACATAACAATCAAGCCAATCACTCATCGAATACACAATGTACAACAGTCACGGTACTAGCAAGGTACTAGTAAGTGCTACTAAGGGTCTAAAATCTAACGACCTAGTTGAGTTCCTCGCGCTCCTGATAGTCCTTGAACCTGGAGTCAATTCCCCCCTGGTAATCCTTGAACCTGGAGCCAAGTTCCTCGCGCTCCTGGTAGTCCTTGAACCTGGAGCCGAGTTCATCGCGCTCCTGGTAGTCCTTGAACCTGGAGCCGAGTTCATCGCGCTCCTGGTAGTCCTTGAACCTGGAGCCGAGTTCGTCGCGCCCCTGGTAGTCTTTGAACCTGGAGCCGAGTTCATCGCGCTCCTGGTAGTCCTTGAACCTGGAGCCGAGTTCATCGCGCCCCTGGTAGTCCTTGAACCTGGAGCCGAGTTCATCGCGCTCCTGGTACTCTTTGAACCTGGAGCCGAGTTCATCGCGCCCCTGGTAGTCTTTGAACCTGGAGCCGAGTTCATCCTCCTGGTAATCCTTGAACCTGGAGCCGAGTTCATCCTCCTGGTAATCCTTGAACCTGGAGCCGAGTTCATCGCGCTCCTGGTACTCTTTGAACCTGGAGCCGAGTTCATCGCGCCCCTGGTAGTCTTTGAACCTGGAGCCGAGTTCATCGCGCTCCTGGTAGTCTTTGAACCTGGAGCCGAGTTCCTCTCGTTTAGCTGAGTGATACATCGAGGCATCTGAGCAACTATGATAATGCTGATGACAATGAATGCTCACAGGAAAGTTTCTCAATCGTGGCCTTTGGCGTGGGTGACGCTGCGGCGAGAATGACGAAAGATAAAAGCGCGCTAAAGAGGACAGAAAGCTGCATGTTTAGATGCAAGAGAAGTAAAGTTACTACTGGCTCAATACTGGAAATTCGATGGGACTCTTTATACATTCTGACAGGTCCGCTCGATTTTCACAAACGACACGATTACATACCTGTTCAGATCGGGCCAGCAGACCCTCAGTCAGGAGTTGTCGAGAGCTTCAAGGTGTGGCGCCGCCACGATGGAGCCAGCAATGTCTGACACGAGAGCTCAGGACCAGGACCAATAGACAGGTCCAACTTGGAAACAGCTGTGATAAGTTGTGTGGGAGTTGCCCAGTGACTGGTGCAGATCAGTCCGTTGCGGACGCGCGGAAGTTTCGTCGTCATGATGCATTCACAGTTGACCAACGTTCGGCAGTGTGAGAGGAGCTACGGCGGCGCGCCGATCAGAGAATTGGTGAACAGAAGATATTGTCATATATCGTAATATATCGTAATATATAGGAAAGCTTTTCGTCACATTGGAATATAAAGCAATATAAAACCATATAAAAGCACCGCAATCAGCATAATGGCCAGCAAGAACTCACCGGTTCACTGATGGCGCCACCACGTCAGTTATGCACGAGCAGCTAGATGATTTGAGTGCACACCTGGCGGAAGGACTCGGATACGTCAGTCAAAGATGATGTAATGCCACAGCATGGGTCTCTTACGGTAACGAAGTGCATTTTCTGCAAGTTTCGTCAACCTACGATGGAAGGATGAATCGTGGCGGGTGAAGGTCAAATTTCTCTGCTTTGCTGGAGCGCTATAATCGAACATAACGCATGTGCCACGGGTCTCCGAGCAAATTGGGATGGCATGACTTTGAGATTCCTCGGGCACCACTTCGGTAATGCGTTTGAGAGCAGCAGGATGTGCAGAAGCGTCTCGTTTTACGGCAAGGTCAGATAGGTCAGGCGGACAGAGGAGCAGGGGGAAAAGGTACAAAACCCTCGCGAAAATTTCGCGACGATGTAGCCCCAAAATATGCAGCTTTCTCTTCTCTTCAGCGCACTCACATCTATCGTCATCCTCTCTGCTGTGTACCCCGTGCCAGGAGCCATCATAACACGATGCTGTGAGTATTCGTGACTGCCAGCAGTATTATTTGTTAATTACTGAAATTGACACGAACAGGCTCACTGTTTTGGGATGGGGAGCACTACAGAAGACAATGCACTGTGGATAGTAATTATTATATGTCGGAAAAATGCCAAATACCGTATCAGGCCTGGCACAAGCTGGTGCAAGCTGGCGCAATCTGACGATCTGGCCAGAGCTGACCAGGTGCCTATGAAGCTCGTGCGTGGAGAAATCAGGTCGTGCCAGGCGCCTATGAAGCTCGTGCCATGACCGGCCTTGCATGCCAGTCGTGCGCACAATTTCATGTTGATGTGTCACGTGAGTGTTCAATTTCGTATGACCGGCCAAAATTCGGCTTCGTTTGATTTACTATACATCTATGTACAAATGTACGACTTGTTCAGCTCCGGACTGGAGGCAATACATATAGTGCGGCTTGGAAGCCGGCACGGATGCCAATGGTCCGGGTGTAGCAAGTTGTACTAGTACTGTGAAGATGTCGCAAATTTCGTAAATCGGTTGTAATCAGGTACCGTTGATATCATGTTAGGCCTGGTCAATTCTAAAATGTCGTTGTCAATGTCGACTTGAAGCTTACGGTCACCTCACGTAAATTACCTACGCGGCCCTAAACCTTTCCTAATTTGTCCAGACGCACCGGCGCCGCCAGCTAAACCTTCGCATGAGAGAATTTCTACACCTTGTCGCACCGCGAGTATCCTCGTCCTAATCCTCGCTGTATAGAGCCTTAAGTTAGGCCTAAACCCTGTCATACATAGTAGTATAGCCTTTTGATGTATTATTGCTAAACCTCCTCCTAAACCTTTCCATGACATGTGTAGTCTAGTGTCTGTTTTATTCAAATTTTCATGCAGTACTAGCTACATCTTTCAAATATTCAAAAGACTTTGATTTAGGGAAAGGTTTGGTGTGCAATATTTACTACATGTAAAGGTTTAGGAACTAATACTACATGACAAGGTTTAGCAATACCTAGCTAGTAACTACTTAGTACATTGAAAGATTGAGGTCTCTATACAGTGAGGATTAGGACGAGGATACTTGCGGTGCGACAAGGTGTAGAAATTCTCTCATGCGAAGGTTTAGCTGGTGGCGCTGGTGCGTCTGGACAAATTAGGAAAGGTTTAGGGTCCGCGTAGGTAATTTATGTGAGGTGACCGTAAGCTTCAAGTTGACATTGACAACGACATTTTAGAATTGACCAGGCCTGTTACAATAGTGGGACTCAGAGTTGAGTTTAGAAAACCGCTAAAGTTCACTCAACTCGGGAAAAGGTGGGCCGAGCTACCCATCCAACACGCGTAAGCCATGCGGCACGCTCGGCATGATGTCGGACTCCGAAACACATGCCTGCCATTCGACTACCACGTCCTCGTCGCTCTGCGCGACTGAAGGCCCTCGAAGCTCACTCACGAAAGGTCCAAACCGCCATGGATCTCACCCAACCGCCTCTCACCCGTGGACGAGCACCTGATGGTGGGGTATGGATGTATCCTTTTGGCCTATAGGCCTAAAATAGGGATACATCGCCTGACATAGTTGTCCGCTCAGTGATACATCCGTGTAGCTTAAGTATCCTTGTGTCTAATATAGCAAGCAGTCACCAAGCAGTCACATTGAACGAATCTAGCTGCCGTTCGGATCAAACAAGTTTTATTTCACATCAAGGTACAGGAGCAAAGTCGTGCTAATTAGTCTAAATCATCGAGATCTCCATGCGGGGGTGCATCAATAGAAGGACCTTCTTCTGCCGGTGCATTAGCCTCTGTATCGTCCAGATTTTCGCTTACCAAAGCGGTCACATGGTGCCATGATGCCCTGAATTTTGCAGACAGGGATCGACAGATGGCAGCCTGGCGTTTTGCGTATGCCACCAAGCCCTCGTTGTCCTCAGGCTGCTCAGCCACACGCAGTGTGACCCGTGCTTCCCACCACTTAGCCTGCCAATCAAGAAACTCCAAGACGCGCCGCATCTCCTCCAAGAGCAGTTGGATTTCTTCAAACCACCGATTGCGTCTGGCCCTCGTTTTGCACCATTCAATGCGTAGCGCTAGACGCGTGGTAAGCAATAAAAATAGAAGTAATCGATGATGACTTACAATCCTGAAACCTGTCACCGTCGTCCGAAGGAATTCCGTGTACATGCCAAATCCATGACATGATCGCTGTTCCTTGAGTGCGACCTCCAAGGTCCCCCATTGGCCGAAGGTCAGACTTCCTCAATGGCTGCAACTTGCGCTCCCAGCCTACATGGTTTAGCCGCCCTGACAGATGAGTGAGAGCTCGCCGAGCACAAGAATACTTCTCGTGACTAAGAATGAGCCGATCCTCAACCGCTTGAATGGTTTTTTGGGCACGAGTGTTAAGACTTTGTCCGCGAATTTGTTGTGCCTTGAAGCGTAGAAGCTGGTGGCGGAGACGAATGTGAGAGCGGCATTCTTCGAGAGCGTCGTTAGCCTGCGCCAAGCGTAATGACCACTCAACCTCGAGCAATTTCGCATCGCACGTTGTCAGATTACAGATAGAAGATGGAAGAAATAGTGGGATATCCTCGGCTTTGATAGAGTCGAGTTTGGCTTTTGGACAGCCGGTGGTTTCATCAATGGTGCCCTTGTCAGATGGAGAGAAACCAGTGGCATGGAAGTGAGCGACGGAGGGCATGTACAGGACCTGTATGTCGATCCATGAATCAATGCGGCGTTGGAGAGCATTTCTGCGCATCAGAATCTTCGTTTGCTGATTGTTGGTTGAGTGTTGGGTGAGACCTGCATTATCTACCCGTAAACGTCGTCTACAAATGAATAAGTAGGAAGTATGTAGCAGTCAATCCATCACTTACTGCGCATTCTCAAGGTCCAAGCCTGTGCTAATGAGGATACTAGGTGTCACCTCTGAATGGAGGGAAATTGATGATCCTTCTTCCAAATCTTTTGCGTCTTGTTGGATGAGCGCTAAACGAACAGTGGCTTGGGTCATTTCTGGTATTTCAATCAGTCATCAATCACGCTCTAAAATTTTGAACTTACCTTGACTTTGACTGTTGAAGGGGTTGGGTTTCGTATGATCGCTCTCCCAAGCACATCAGCAAATCATAGGGTTCCTTATTTCGCCTTAAGTTACTTAAAAATATAATTAAGGCGGCTAAGGCGAATAAGGCGCTATTTTTATCGTTTGTACAATTTATTTTAAGGCGCGAGGTCATTACAAGTAAGTCTAAGGAACTTAAGGCAGCAAAGGCAGCATAAGGCGGCAAGTTGATGATTCTGCGACAAAGTGAGATTAAGGTGCCTGTTGAGCACAACAAATTTCACCGCTTGTTTACATCATCAGCGCGCTGTTTTGAGTGATCAAAAGATAAGCGCGCGACAAATAACTCAACCGCTATCACAGAAACATCAAAGTAAGTTTTATTGGCACTCGTCACGTATCGTTGATTGACAGTATACTAGTAGACTACATGACCCCGAAATCTATCTACCGCGAGCAAGGGAGGAGGCGCCAGTGGGGGGATATAGAGGTTTTGATGGAGGCTGCGATCAGCACTGAGGCAGCTGCAGAGGAAGCGGATGCGACAGCAGAAAGGACGGAGGCTTCACTGGGCTTCTGGCAGAGGGTGAAGAGCTGCTTCTGGCGCAGGAATCGAGATGGAACGTGTCATCGAATGGAGACGGAACGTGTCGCTCGAGTGTAGGATGTCTGAAAACCACAGTGAGTACAGGGATGTCTCAAACCTGACGAAAACTCACAATGGTCTCGTCTCCGTCACTCAAAGCCGCGCCGCCAGTCTCGCACGTGTTCTTGATCGTCGTCGTTCGTTAGGCAGGGTCTTCGTAGTAGGCACTTGTCTGGTTGGGGGACGGTGAGGGAT